ACTTTGACAAATATAAAGATGTTCAATGCGGTAAAGGAGATCAGCACAGTGGAGTGGAGGTGTTGGCAGGTTGCAGGATTAAATGAAGAGGAGTGAGTGAGTCTCCCTGAGAAGTTGTGATTTGAACAAAGACTGGAAGGAGGTGAGGAAGCTAGCCAAGCAGCTATTTGGGGGAGGAGCATTCCAGAAAGAAGGGACAACCAGAGAAAATTCCCTCAGGTAGGAAAATGCCTGTGGTGTTTAGAAAGAGAAAGAAGGCTCCATAGCTAGAGCAGAGGTAATGAGGGCTTGAACTCAGAGAGGTGACAGGTGGTCAGATCACGTAGGACCCTGCTGGACTTTTTAAGGACTCTGTCTTTTATGTGGAGCAAAATGGTGAGCTACTGCAAGGTTTGAAATCAGGAATGATGTGATCAGACTTAGTATTTTATAAAAAAAACCCTGGCTGCTGTGGATTCACAATAGATTGTAAGTGAAAATAGACCTGGGGTGGAGGAAGCAAGAACTGAAGCATGGATAGGAGACTATTGTGAGGTTGGATTCTCAAGACATTTTGGAGGTAGTCAACAGACTTTCCCAATGGATGGGAGGTGGAGTGTGAGAGAGGGGAACCATGCCTAATGCTAGGGTTTTTCTTAAAAGGAAATCCTAATAGTCAAAGAGTCTAAAACTAGGTCTAAGTGTGAACAGCCAAAAAGAGCACAGGTTTTAAAATTTAAGCAGCTTGGGGGGGGGATAATTGGGTGGGGACAAGGGGTACAAAAATAATTTTGGGTAATGGGTATGCCCTTAGTACGAATCTGGCCCTTACATCATGGGCAGGAGGGGTGACAATTAGGATTGTATCTCATGAATATTCTTAATAAATAATAATAATAAAAAAACTTAAGCAGTGGAAGGTGACAAGACAAACAGATCCCTGTCTCAAGCTGCTGTCACTTACCCCTTCATGACTGGATTCCAGAATATGGGTCTTTCCCGCCAGGGTCTGAGCATTGCTCTTTCATCTTCCTAGAACTTGCTTCTCCAGGATCTTTGCATAGTTGGCTTATTTGCAGGTAAAGAGAATAAGAAGTCCTCAGAGAGCTCTTTCCAGGCCATGCTCCCTAGTGTAGCTGTCTTCCCCGAATCTTTCTATCCTTATACTCTGTTTTGTTTTGTTGTCTTTATTGCACATATCACCTTCATAACATATTTTATTTGTCTGCTTTAATTGTCTGTCTTTCCCAGTGGGATGTGAGCTCCGTGAACCTCCAGATCTTGGTCTTGCTGCTACTATATCCTCAATACATAGAACAGCATCTGGCACACAGTAGATAATAACTACTGGGTGAAGAAACCCTCATGTTAAAGTAAATCATCAAGCATGCATTAAACCCCCCTGCAGGTAACACCACCAGTCAGTATGTGGGGGAATATTTTCATGTAATATATTGAAATGAAAATAAGTAACACTATGTTAACGTAGGTAGAGAAATCACAGGGCACTCAATATATGATTCATTGGCAAATGAGTGGTAAAGAAGGAAAACCGAGATTCATGGAGTGGGAAGAATTTAAAATTGTGGAATTATTGACCTTCAGGGTTAAAGGGACCAGCCCAACAGCATACATGGGTAGAAATCTTTGCAACATCTTGTTGAACTTTCTCTGAACATCTCCAGCAACACGAACCACATCATTGTACAAAGCAGTGTATTGCAATCTTTGGCAGTTCTAATTATTAGAAAGCTATTTTTCATTCTGTGAATAGGAGAATAGGGAGTATTTGACTAGGCAGAGTGGAATGAAGAGAGTACTTCTGACTAGAGGAAGGTAAAGGCGGAGACACAGAGCTAAGAAAACTCCGGGCCGGTGAGAGACTGAACAGCTTTCTGCATGGGAGGCGAGGGATAGGATATAATTATTCCATATCTCTTTCAGGTTGGCATACAGAGAGAAAGGTCTGAGAAGAGTAAAATTTGCTTCATAGATAGTGTACTAGAGTAAGACCTTATACCAAGTTTTACTTATTTAGGGCAATTAAAGTCCCATTAAAAAAAAAAATATCCTATCTCTGCCAATAAGGCAGACTGAATTAAATATCCAGGCAAATCTGAAAGTGCTGATTCCAACAAGATTTTTTTTTTAATAAGGAAAGCATCAAATTATAGTGAAAAATGTAATCACTTATATTTATGGATCTAATATGAATTCTAAGTAGGAGGCTGACCTTTGCTTGCCTGAGGAAGAAAGAGGAACACTTTTTGTCAGAACAGTAATAATTTAAAAAAATACAGTTCTGAAGTAATTTCCTTAGGGGTGTTTAAAAGCCTGTGAATTAATTTGGAACAAATTCAAGCCATGTCTTTAGAGATTGCCTATGAATTGGAAATCACGTGGCTATTGGACTCTTGCTGAGAGACTGTCTTAGTCCGTGTTGTGCTGCTATAATAGAAGACCACAGTCTGGGCAATTTATAATGAACAGAAATTTATCGGCTCATTGTTCTGAATGCTGCGAAGTTCAAGATTGAGGGCTGGAGCTCTGGAAAAGAGTCAAATGCTTATAATAACCAAGCAAATGACCATTCACCATTAAAAAAGGGAGTTAGAGAATATTTTCCAAATTCAGGAATTTAGCCCCCTTATTTTCTGAACTGACATAATACAATACTTCTGTAATTTAAGTAGAGACTTAGTGAAATCATCAAATATGTGAACTGCAAAGATTTTAAAAAGGCATAGATTAAAGTGTCTAAAGATAGCCGCTGAACTAAAACAAATTTCACTCAGTGACATTTTTCAAATATCACCTGAATCACTCTGTGTAGAGTCTTTTCAGCAGCTTTAAGTATCACAGCCTTAGCGATAGTGCAGTAGGGACAATAAAGATAAGGTGTCAATTGTGAACAAAAGAGAAACGAATTTTATTTTTCATGGTTTAAGTAGAATATTGCTGAGCAACTTTTCACTTGGATGGCCCTCATCAAGTGGTTGTTTTTCTAGAGAAAGAGAGTAGGGCTTGCAAAACTGTGTAAATTAGGCAATTTGCATTCACATCTTGATGATCTGCAAATCACTTATTCATTTGCTCCAGTAAAGCAGACTCATGAAATCAGTAATCTTGCTATTCATTTATGCTGTATACATTTTTTTTCCTTTGAAAAGTTCATAAAGCAAGTTTTAACATTTCATTAAGCTAAAAAGACAAGAGCATACCTCTAGCAAATGTCTTCAGACATTTCCTTGGCCTTGTATTTCTATCTTCCTTTTTTTTTTTGCTTGGCAAAATATATAAAAATGTTTATTTACAGTTTTCAACTGGACCTAGATTTCACAGGATTTTACTTGGCTTATAGTAGAAAAAAATTAAATAATCAATATGATAAGATGCATTTAAGTATTTATAAAATTAGCATTTATTTATTTATTTATTTTATTTATTGATTTTTTTATTATGAGTCATGAGATACAAAGCTGATTGTCACCCTATCTTCTTATATGAGGAGTGCTCATAGCTAATCTCCATTGGTATGAGGTCAGTGAGTCATTATATTAATGTCAGTGATAGAGGGTTTCTGCAAACAATTTATGAACATATGCATACTGTAAACTAGTTAGGGATGAGCTTACTTGTTACACTTGTGAATGAAGGCTGATACTTCTTATGTATTTTAGAAAATAAAAATGTCAGCTTGTTGCTTTGGAGGTCAGAGAAATCGAATTCAGTTTATATAAAAAATTTCCACATAAAAATAATAAAGTAGGGTTTTCATGATGAATTTTTGATAAGGGTATAAATCTGCATCAATATTCATCCTAACCTTGTATTTTTTGTTTTGTTTTGTTGTTTTAGTGGCGGGCTAGTATGGCGATCAGAACCCTTGACCTTGATTTTATAACACTGTGCTCTAACTGATCTAACCAACAAGCCCATAACATTGGATTGTTAGGGGCTCCAAACACTAGCCTCTTAAATGCACTACCATGTTGCCTCTTAATCTTTTGTGTTTCTTAGCTGAAGAACATGAACCCTAAGGAGATTCTGCTGCTTTAATTTTAACTATGGAAATATGCTCTGGAGGGATTCTATTGCCATGTACCTTTCACTGTCCCTGAAATATATTTGTTCTTGGTTAATGAATGAATTGCAACTATGTTACCATATGCTGAGCTTAAATATTTTTAATTTAATGAAGAAGAGTTACTGTCAGGTTGTTCCCCAAAATGAAACTCCACTTTCCTCCACATGTACCCTTTTCATGACACAAGCTATAAACTTGAAAGTTTCAGTATGGAACAGAAATTAAGCATGATGCTGATTCTGAGTTTTCAGCACATACCTGAGCTTGTGAAGAATTAAAAAAAGGAATTAATTTCAGGTCTGCCCCTGGTTTAGCTAAAAATTTGGGAAAAATTTAGGTCTCTGTCACTCTTAGCCAAAAAATCAAAATTCAGTCTAAATCTAAATAGTTAACACTTTTGTTTCCTGAATTACAGTCTTAATGTCTGTAGGTTTGTGAGAAGGATAAATCTTACTCTTAAGACCTGAAATATTTCATGCAAAAATGAAGGGAACTGGGTATTTGAATTTTATTTTTTAAGTTTCTATTTTTTAATAGGGCCTTGTAGTTTATTTTGGTTATAATTAACCAATTGTTAGTTAACCAGTTGTGTGTAGACAACTCATTGAAAACTCAAAGCACATATAATAAGGAGAAAAGAGGGAATTATTGTCCTTAAGATGTCTAGTGTTCTGAGGGCTGGTTGATGTGCAAAAGCCTGCAATCTCACAACCTATAAATTTCTCTAATACTTCTTAACACTGAAAATTGTTCAAAACTGTTTGTAGTTTCAATGGCCTCTGTTATTGTTTTTCTGGTAAGAATTTTTTTGCTTTTCGTAAATAACAGTATAATTAATCGTTACCTGACTTGAATAAATCAAGCCAGAAATATCCTGACAGTGCACTGAACAAGACCTGTGTGTATAATGTGAGTTCTTTCTTTTCAATTTTAGAATCAACCTTGTCCTATGTTAGGCAGCTGGAGGCAAGAGTAAGACAGCTGGAGGAAGAAAATCGCATGCTGCCCCAGGTGGGTGACTTTAAGAAGCTCATAGCTAGTCAGTGTCATTTGAGTTGTAGCATTTTATTTAGAATTTAAAATCTCAATTACATTTTTCTTCTGTAAATGATAGAAATCATTTTGTATATAGCCATTCATCACTGTAGAGTGTAGTTATGTTCCATGATGGCCATCATATTATCCAGATTTCTAAGTGTTATACTAAAGGATGCAGTGTCTGAAATAAGAATGTGAAGTTTGAAAGGAAGAAGAAAGGAGAAAGAGAAAATAATGTAGATAATGAAGACACTTGATAGTTCTACTCATCTACATCATGCATGTAGTTGGTGGATCTAGGGAAGGTGTTCTTATTTATATTGAAAATTTGCTAATTTACGAACTAGGCAAAGCTGTAGGTAGTTTGAAATTTTCATATTTAAATTAGTACTTTCTAAAATTCTTCGTGATATAATTGAATTCTTTAAGTGCAATAAAGAGATGACAGTAAATAACAGTTTTTACTTTGGGACTTCACTTTTCCCTGGTGAATGTAAAGTGACACTTTTTTCTGGGATATTTAAGGTCTTGACATATATTTTACTTATAAAATTGTTTCTGTGGGCTGTTAACTGGGTGAGAATGGTGTTGGTCTTTTGAGGTGGTGGTTTTCAGGAAAGGTTTTGTTGAGGAGTTGAATAAATCTTCTGATTCTAGGTTGGTTTCCTTTACAAGCATGTAGACAATAATGTATTTTAATATTTTTAAAAAGGAGTTTTCTAAGCAATTGGTCACTAGGGTTCTTTCCACATTCTGGTGATTATTTCTATTTCATAAGTGACTGAGGGAAAATTACACCTCAAACAACTAGTAAACAGTGGTTTAAATAAAAAAAAAACAGAGACTGGTTGTAGCTCAGGCAAAGAGATTCAAACATGAATGTAAGGACCCTTTAGAAGGACATTTTAGGTCTTTTTAATCTCGTTTTGTTTTTAAGCTACTTTTGCTCGTGAATGATGCTTTGCACTATTAAGTACTGTGTATAAGAATGCCTTTCTTTTTCTTTCATTGGCTAACCATCTGCCTAGAAATCATGAAATTAAATGAAATGAATCTACTTCTTTTCCTTCTCAAACTGTACATATGTTAAAGCTCATGATGACAGAAGGGATTATTTGCATCATAAATACTACTGGCAGAGTTTTTTTTTTTTTTTTCTTTCCTTCTTTGCTCTTTACTTTTCCTTCTTTCATTTTTTTTTTTTTTTTTTTTTTTTTTACCTTTTTCCTTTTATCTGGGATTTATGGTATGACTGGGCTAGTGACTTGACTGAAAACATACCTTGACTGAAAACATCTAACTTCTTTCCTGTTACAAAGAAACCTAGAAAATATAGTTAATTACGCAAGGTTATACCATCTCTCAGGCAACTGGAAATGTAAAAGAAAAGAAAGTTTAAAAAAAAATGATGTACGTTTCTTAGTTTCCCTCTGAATGGGAATTGAGGCTGACATCACATATTGAAATGCATGTATGCTGTGTTATTAAAAAAAGATGTACAACAAATGTGAAAATGATCACATGATTGATATTTAAAAATCTATAAATTGAGTGTTTGAAGTCTTGAAGGAAAATCAGAAGAGTCTTCAACTATACTTGATATTAGTGTGTATATTTAAATGCATGATACTTGCATAGTTAAGACTAGGAGAGATTAAACAACTTCTCGCATTAAAGTTCTCAATTATAAGCATTTAAATGCATTGCTATGTTGCTATCAAGGATGGTTATTTTGTTTGTTTTGGTTTGTTTTGTTTCTCCTCTGAAAAATGGCTAGGAAAGATCATGCTTCATTGAATCTAAGTTGTTACTGATGTGGGATGCACCATTATTATATGTACTACTACAAAAGAAAAAAGAAGTTGTCAATTATACCATGTCAGATTCTTGCTGATTTTAGAGATGTTAAAAATGGAAAAACAATGTTTTAGATGTAGTTAAACTGCTATTTATATGTCAAAGTACTTTAGTGCAAAGAAAATTCATTGTTTGAAATATACTATTGGACATATGCAAAGAATACAATAGATCTATTTAAGACCAAAAGCAACATTTTTGTTAAATTTCTATATCAGGGAATGTTGCCTTCATTTACAGCTAAGATAGATATAGTAGAACCACCAGTTGCAACTACTATAGATACGAACACAAACAGCAGATGAGATCTTAGGATGGAACGCAGTAAATGGATCTCAGAGAAGAGAATCAGTCACGTAAAGGGAAACTTCATGGAAGGCTGAGACTTGGACTGGATAGCACAAAGGCATATATAACTTATTCTTGGATGTTATTGGTACAAATAATGTGTGATGAGATTTCCCTGAAGAAACTATTTCTAAGTGCATGATGTAAGCTGATTTTCAAGGTCAATTCAATGGGACAAGCTGACATTTCTGCATAAATTAGTCTCAATATTTGAACACTTGATTTTCAATTATAAGAGCTTGCTCACTGTGCCTTGATTAGAGGGTCTTCTTACTACTCCCAATTTTATAAAATATGTTCATTTGCCTTTGGATAAACAGGAAGAATGTAGCTGGCAATTGAAATCTCAAGTATATCAAATACCTTTTGTGGCTGTGGACAGGTTCTTTCTTGATAGTTTAGACTTTACACTAATTATGTAAAGCATTTAAAGCATTATCCTGGAGGAAGAAATCTCTTCCGTTAATGCTTATTTTTATTCTTTATATAAAATTGTGCATAATGAACAGAAAGTTACAACTTTGCCCTAGCAATATACATATTTAAAAATAAAAAAAGGTGGATGTAATAAATGCTTGTGGATTTCTGTCTGATCAGGTACAAAGGTCTCACTTTCTTCATTTGTAAGTGTGGTTCTTCCTAGCCCAGAACAGTCTGAGCCCAAGTGTAAATAAAGGCTTATATCCATGTCTTAAACATATGCAAAGTTACTAATTTCCAGAATGAAGGGCTCTTTATTCAAGAAAAGATAGAGAAAAGCAGGGAAAATTCAGTTGGTTCTATGCAGTCATGAAGGGGAGCCCATGGCAGGTCATCGCCCAGTGAACCTATTGCTCCTTGTTCTGCCATGGTGACTGTAGTACCCCACAAGTATCACTGAGCTGAACCTTACATCCAGTTTGTGAGCACAACAATTCAAAGGTATCCTAAAGTAAGAACAGTTTCATTATTTTTAGAAAAAGCATGATTGTTTGCTAGGTATTATTTTTTGAGAGGAAAATGCCTTTTAAAAGTTGGTACAAATCTGGTTAAAGATCACCTGAACTTAGGATATTCTCTTCTGAGTACAAAAACTAACGTGAGCATTTTTTAAAGATTACAATCAAAAATATTTCAAAGTATTGCATATATATAATCTTTTATAATACACATATTGCCAAAACTGCTCAGACTGGTCTGTCAGTTCTATGCATTTTTTGATGTGATGTGAACCCCAAATGAAGATTGTATGTTACCTAAATAAATGTAGCTGCTCTGTATGAAATTTTATTAACTTTTGAATCCAGTGGGGTAGAGTCACCCACAATAACATAAGTAGGCATTTATAAATAACGGACCCAATATGGTGTAAAGTTGTAGTTTTAAGGGATTTTATATCAAAATAAAAAGAGACATTTATTTATATATACACACTTACACATAAACACAAGCTTTCTCTAGATAAAGAGTCATAGATTTTCAGAGCTGGATAGAATCTTACATATCACATAGGACAAGTCCCAATTTTAGTCAAGGTCTATCATGTTCACAGAGGTTAAGGATATAGTACTGGTCAGATAGCTACTTAAGGACTGACTCAAGATTTAGTCCTATTCAGTGTTCTTTCTGGCATATGCATAGTGCCTCCCTTGATCATTTCTCCCATTTATATAATTTAGTTAATTAAGATACTAAATCTATTTTTCTTATTGTCAAATTCATTTTTTTCAACATTTATCTTAACTGATATTGGATCTGCTTATCCATCTAAGATTTGTTAGACATTTATTCTATTCCTGACTTAAGGTTAATATTCTGTTTTTCCTAATGCCATGGTATCTATCATAAATGAAAAAAAAATTGCATTTTACTGGATCTTCTCTCTGACAAATTTCAAAAATATTTCAGAATCACAAAGTTTTATTATACATGCACAAATACTCTCACCTGAATAGAAAATTCATGCTTAATCCAAATGTGGTCAGAGACGGCCTTTCAGTTCAGAGTGAACTGGAAATGGGTGGGTAGGGAGAACAGATAGTTACAGTGGTGGTTTTAAAATTGAGTTTTAAAACTGAAATTTGATTTTTTTTGCCAAAATTCAAAAACCTTGCTTAAATCTTTCTACTCATTTCGTTGTTCTTTTCTTGATGGATTTTTTAATCCAGACATAGCCAGTATGTTTATGTGCTGCATCTGCAATGAAGTCTGTTCAACTAGAAAATATCTTTAAGTGGATGAAATTGAATATCTACCTGATGACTTTATTATAAATAAATAGTGCTGTCCTTTGAACATGTCAGTTACTATTCAGATATTATCCTGAAGTTAAACTGATGCCAGAGGAGAGGGTCTAAGGAGTCCTGATAGCCAGCCTCAACCCATCCTGTCCTCTTACCAGGTTCTTGACTCTGCCACGGGAAAGAATTCAAGAGCAGAGTCACGGTAGAAAGTGAGAACAGGTTTAATGTAATGAATAAGAGATACAGATTTCACAGAAAATGCAGCCTAGCTCCAGAAACTGAGCAGGGCATGCACAAAAGTTTAATACAAAAGTAAGAAATACACATTCACAGACCAAAGTGCAGGCTGGCTGTACAGTGAACAGCAGCTTGCCAAAGGCAAATTTGATACAAAGAGAAATACATACCTCAGGTGAAGTATGGGCTGGCTCCAAAGAGAATGAGCTATAGCCCCTCCTACCAGGATTCAGCTTTTGCAGTTTTGCTGTCTATACATATTCATGCTATCTAATGAATATTCAACTAAGAGGACAGTTCCCAGTTATG